CACTGCTTTAGTCTGCTTCCATTCTTGACCTCCACTACTTGTCTAATGATTAAGTAAGGCCTACTTGGTATTCTAAACCCTAAAGCCTAAACCCCATATGACGAAAAGGTTTATGGTTTAGGTTTTAGGTTGGTTAGGATATTCAGCCTCCAAGTCTTCGGGATGCGGTCGGGACCTTTCAAGTGATATCAAGCCTTTATTCCCTCAGGGCTTATAGAATTTTAAGCTGTTGTTTTGAGGGATTCTTTAAGGGCTTAGGCTTTAGGTTATAAGGGTCCACCTACCCAAATGGTACAGATTTTGGCGCTAAAGTAACCATTATATGGGGACTACTTGATGGCCACAGTATATCCTAATATAGGGGCCTTAATTGGCCTCAAGAATTACCTATACCATTTTCGGGGTTCCTTGATCTAATTACAGTACAATGTAATAACCCCAAAACCGTATTCTAATTATTGAGGCCACTATATCAGATTGGAGGCACTGTCGGGTTTCGGTTTTGCAAGGCTCTCCGAACTCCTACAACAGTTTGCGGTTTAGAGTTTAGAGTGAAACCCACAGTGTGAGCAAGCGAAGAGATTTGCCACAGAGAAGTCGGGTGTCTGCATAAAGAATTTAGGCTTCGACTCTAGCCTCTATGACCCCTAAACCCTCGTGCCTTTGAGCTAGCCACATTCTACACTCGTAAACCTCAAGCGAGCTCTTGCCTCAAATTTGCCAGCTTTCGCTCGTGCCCCTTCAACTCCCTCGGCGCTATGACGCAACGGTACACCCAGGGCAACATTTTATGCCGAGAGTGCGGCAGCTCGAGTACGATATGCAGGCGGTCGAGCTGACCTGCAATGATTGTGGCACACGACGCGACCAAGACCCTCTCTGCATTAAGTACATCGACGAGGAGGAGAACATTGAGAACATCGAAGACAAGGCCCAAGCGACCGCTGTCAGAGCGAGCATCCCCCTACGAACAGTTCAAGGATGCCCACAGACAATTGCTGTCGGGCTTGCATCCTGACAAAGTCAGGAACAGCAGGCAAAGATGCCGCCATTGCCGCGAATTTGCTGCACACAGAAAGCCCAAACCGTCCACGACCGCACAGCCTTAGAAAGCTTGGTTCTAAGACAATAAAAACCTGACACCCAGAGCCTCTTCGCCTTAAGCCCTAAAGCCCTGGAGCCGTACAACCCAACATCCTAAATCCGAAGCTCCAAGCCGCAAAACCCTAAACCCTAACGTCCTCAACCCTAGGACCACAAACCTAAAGCCCTCAAGGCTTACAGCCTTGAACCTTGAAACCATCCAGCACTCAAGAGCGAATACCCTCGAACTCACAACCCAAAAACCCTAACACCCTAAACGCTAAATCGTACCCTAAATCTTAAACCTTAAAAAACCCTAAAATCCGGACCCTAAGGGTCCATGTAAGAGTTTCCGAAAATGACGTGAACCTTGTTTTGGGGTCATTACTGTCAGGATCCTGCTGTTGGGTTCGGAAACTCTCATGCACCTTTAAAGGAACCCTGCAAATTCCTTCAGCGATCCCTTAAAGGATCCCTTAACGGTAAGGGTACCATGGCGGCTTCAGGTTCAGGACATAAGGGTCCATCTACCGAAATACGTGCCCTACAACAGATATAGGGATGCCTTCAAGGCCTTTGACTATATACTGTATGGGTACATGGACCCTTGAACCCTAAACTCTACTCTGCAGGGGACCCTAGTATGGAACCTTATAGTAATGACCGTGGAAGGACCCCATGATGGAACCCTAAGCCCTAAAATATCCCTTGAGCTTCTCCGAGCCAGGGCTCGATCCCGGGAAGGGGCGGAAGGCAGCAGAAGGGATTGCTCTTCCCAAAGGGTCCTACTTAAAAGATCATGGGACTTTAATAAGTAACTACAGTTAGAACTACTTATAACCCCAATTGAAGTACTTATAACCCTACCGTGATCCTCCAAGTATAAGGGTCCCCTGAAAGGGTTCCTTTAAGGGTATCTGTAAGGGTTTAGGGTTTAAGGCCCCTGAGTACTCGTACAGTAGAATGTAGGGTTTCTATATTAGGAGTTACTACTATGATTTAGGGGAGTATCCACCATAACGGTATCTCGGAGCCTGTGCTCTTGGGCTCTTGAAAGGCGTCGGGGTCTATGGGGTTTCTAGCGTTTGAGGGTTCAGGGTGTGGGGGCAGCTGCTTTCATGGTTCACAGACTGGGATTTCCCAGGACGCCCAACACCCCTTCACTCAGGAAAACGTCTTGAGTTGTAGGGCGATCCTTTTACGGATTTAAGGTGGTTTTCTGTTTGTGTAAGTCAACACGTTGACAATCCTTACAAGATCACCGAAAGCCGCATGAATTTCGATAACCCCATGTACATTGGGCTCTCTGAGTTCAGAACCTGTATACACGACTTGCCCTAAACATCCCTAAACCCTATACGTACTGCAGGAAAAAACAGCAGACAACACCTAAACAGCAGATCCCATCTAAACCTCTATGTTCAGCGTTTAAGGGGGTTTGTTTGGCCTTTCGGGAGTTAAGGCTTATCGGTTTCAGGCTTCGGGGACTTGGGATTTGAACCCCCCGTGCCCTGACCCCTAATCCTCTGAACCCTAAACCCTAAATCCCTATACCCGAATCTCTAAACTCCCCAGCCCGCTGAACCCTAAACCCCTAAACCCGAAACCTTTTCGTCTCAGCTCTCGAACCCCGAAGTCGATCCTCACAATCACAAAATAGTTCGGTACGTGGGTACTTACGAGTTTTGCGATTACCAGTAGGTCGGGTTTAATGTTTAGGATTTAGGGTTTAGGGTGTTTGGGAGAATATGTGACTATCGGTAGGCACTAGGACTAGGACTCTTGGGAATGGAATGTTATCATTTCAAGGTCAATCCCAACAGTAGACTGCCGCCCCCCACATCTTAAGCCTTAGACTCGCGAGACCATTCAACACCACTCATCTTCGACCAAACCCGTTCACAATCCTTGCCCTTAGTTCCCTGACCACCACCCTAAAACCTACCAGTACTTTAAATTATAGTAGGATCCTAAATATGCTTTAAGGAATGTTCTCTAATTAGGGGATATTGCAGTCTCTGGGTGGGTTTCTGTTTGGGTATCTCTAAACGCTTGACAATCCTCACAAGATCCCCCAGAGCTGAACGAATCTCGATAACCCCGTGTAAGTGTTGCTCTCTACATACTTCCCTAAGGCTCCATGTACCCATATAGTATAGACTTACGCCTTAAAGTGCCTATATAGGGACCCCTTTTAGGCTTAAGTATCTACTGTTTGGGTACCTTCAACCCTATAGAACCCTTTAAAGGAACCCTTAAAGGCCCCTTTTAGGCTTAAGTATTTACTATAAAGCTACATGGAGCCTTTGGGCTTTTGGGGTCCAGGTGGCCACCACCCCAAAACCTGCGTTTGGGCTCAAAAGCGCGGCCGGGGATCTTGCGGGCTGAAAGAGGAGCAGGGGAAGGCAGGGCAGGGCGAGGCCTCATGAAAGTTAGGGCTTTGAGGTTTAGGGTTGAGGGTTTGGGGTTTAGGGTTGTTTTAGGGATGATTAGGGTTGAAGGTTTAGGGTCTAGGGAGCTTAGGGCTCAGCATCTCCGTAGTAACACCGGAAAAACGAGATCTCGATCTTCAGGGCTGGAGCAGGCTAGAGTTAAGGGCTGAGGGGTGAAGGGGTTTAAGGGTTTGAGGGTTTGTGGTTTAGGGTTTAAGGGTTAGGGGTTTAGGGGTTTAGGGTTTCTGGTTTCAGGGGTTAGGGTTTGAGGGTTTAGGGTGGTTTGAGGGTTTAGGGATTGAGGGTTTCGGGATGGATAGGTTGGGCACTACGCCCACTCTGTAGCAACTAGATTCTAGATAATATTGGTAGTACAATCATATATGGCCCCGAAAATTGGTTGTTACAGGATGGAGGCAGTACCCAATGGATACTTGGAGGATCATGGGACTTAGTAAGTAGGGTTATAAGTACCTTAATTGGGGTTAATAGTTATTATAACTGTAGTTACCTTACTTATAACCCCAATTACCAAGTCTCATGATCCTTGAAGTAGGGGTCGAGGTAATGGGCGCAACCACCATCCTTGAGGCGTAGCTTGCAAAGCCGTCGCTGTTTGGAGGAGCTGAGAGACCCCAATGTCCCTGAGCTAAAAGGAATTTTCCTTACATCATATTCGGGATCCTGCCATAATTGAACGTATATTCCTTAATTAAGGGAACTTTTAGTTTCTGGGTAGCTCAATGTATGCCCTGGGCCTTAACACCCCATTACAAACCCCTACCCCTAATACAATGAAACACCGTATACAACCTGTATAACACCATCAGAAGGCCTTTTCTACCCTACAAAACCCTAGGAAGCTCTGATAAAGTACACTCAAAATTCAAAAAGCCTGCGCAGCAAAATTCAAACCACCCCCCCTGTTCAGAGTATTTACAGCTTCATGCCTCTTTCTTCAGGGACTAGCCCCGGAACCGTCCAAGTCCAGTTGAGTGCTAATTTACCGAGACTCGAAAGCCCCACCAGTTGAATAATATACCTGAAGTATCCTTAAGTTGTAATTGTTCGGATCCGAAATATAGTTTTTGGTATGTAGGCACCCTTTAGTGTGGTTTAAAGTATACCCCTGAAGTAAGCCATGTTGGAGTCTTTGGGCATCTAACAGCTCCGACCCCTAAGTGCCGTGGCCTTTCCCCCAAGGGTCCAAGTACCCAATAACCATATACTCTCCAAAAACCTAACCTTCATAACTACTATCCTAAAACCGAACACCTAATTATTGGATCCTTTGGACCCTTGGGGTAAACTCATAAACCTAAATCCTGTAAACTTAGATGTGCCTCAGAAACCTTTGAAAGAACCTCAAAGGACCACCCCAAACGGCATCCCTACAGGAACCTTTACAGGAAAGCTTTAAGAAGTGGTATCGGAATATTTGTTGCTTTCCCGAAGTCTTGGTTCCTTCTGCGGAGGTTCGACAACATGGGGGACGAGATGGACGTTGCTGACGATGGTCCGGAGGAGTGGAGAAGGGTTTCTGTATGATTCAATACAGGTGCCGTAAGATATAGAAGACCGGATTGGTGTACATTGTTGACTATCGAAAACACCGCTGCTGGGCTACAATATGCGGGGACTGAAACCCTAAACCTTAAATGGGTAGTTGTCAAAATTAGCGTCTCTTTTTGGGTACCCCAGATATTAGGTGCGGTATCAAAACAAGGACTCGAAAAGGCACCATAATTTTGAACAGCCACCCTAAATCTGAAATGCCGTGCTATTGCAGTCCCGTCTCAGGAGATTCCGGTGGCCACACAGCACGCATTTCTTGACCAGGCGCCTGGGTTTCTGGCTTTGGATGGTTTTTGGGGGTATAGGGGGTTTTCGAGTTCTGTTTAGGCTGCTGTCAGAGGGTCTAGGGCTATAGGGGGGGGGTCGAGTTTAGTTTAGGGTTCGGGCTTAGAACTCCAGGTGTTAGGGCTTCCTGGGGGTTTTCGATTTTTGTTTAGGGTTCTGTCTTGGGTTTTTGGCTGTCAGAGGGTCTGTAGGGCTTAGCTGTTTGACGTGTTTTACGGTTTGGATTGTTCGGGTTAGTACTTAGGTTGGGGTTTTGAGTGGCAGAACTCCAAAACTCTACAACCTCAACCCCGAATGCACCAAAAGCCTCAGCCTGTGTTTCGAGGTCTCCGCGTGGGCCCTTTTTCCATTTTTTGGTTACAGGTTCCTTATAACGTTACCCAGTACCAAAGAGGGAGCCCTTTTTATTCCCCGGTTACTGGGCATCCTAGTGAAGTTTTGGTTCCTAATGGAGTTGTCCACGGCAGGCGAAGAGCTACAATTTCGTGGCCGTGAAGGATATGGTCACAGCACCTTGTCTTCATAGGAGTGTGCCTTCCCCTGCATCCAGCCCGATGTATGTTGACAGACAGAGAGCTACTGAGTAGCTAGAGTCACATGTGTACTACTGTTGCCTTAAGATTGGAGAACACAAGTACAAGAGTTTCACGAGATACATGCAGCTACATTGGTGGGTGAATGAATTGGGGCTACATTGGGCCAAGTAGCTGCATTGTTCTTTTTACAATCGATACTTGAAGGATCATGGGACTTAGTATTTGGGGTTGTAAGTAAGGTAACTTGCATATAACCTTATAAAGGTACTTATAACCCTACTTACTAAGCCTCATGAACCTCCAAGTACACGCTACCCTGCTTCAGGCCTCAACCCATTGGCCCTGGTAAGGCTTACATCCTGAATGCCAAAAAAAGTTGGAGATCGGATCAGGGCCATTTCGTGCTGATATTACCTGTTTTTGATTCTTAAGGATTGAGGCTATTGGGTTTCCAACTTTTGGGCTTCTACTATAGGCCTAAACTCTTTGGACCCGAAACCCCTGGACGTCCATCGCAACCTTAGCTACAAGTGACCCATGTTTAGGGTTTAGGGTTGACGGCAGGCGCTGCCTTCCCAACAAATTTCCCAACTTGGCCAGCAGATGCTTCAGCACAGTGAAAGGGTGGCATGTTGGGTGCAATAAGCTGGGGTTGAGTAGGGGTCAGTCTTGAACCTTGTTAAGACTTTCGGTATGTCTAAACTTTTTTTCCGTCAAAGGATCTTCTCAACAACCGGCTGCCTTTTGTGTTCACGTACAGCCCGAAACCATCTTCGATTTACAACCGTTGACCAGTATATGCGTGTCAGATTGAGCTCTGTACATAGCATGGCCCATATAGTTCCTGTATAGCTACAGTCTGCTAGCTCCCCTGAATTCAAGCTAGACTGGACCGTAAAACCCTCAACCCTCAACCTTTCTATAACCCTACAAGACGCTTATATGGGACTTTCCGGAAATAGGGGACCCTAATGGCCCTAATATAGTACCCTAAATAGTAGGATCCTTATTATACGGGTCCCAAAATATGGTACCCCTTATTTTCGGAAACTCCGATATAAATCTTACCAGAAATTTCCCAAAACCCCCATTCTCCAGTCAAACCCCCCTGTGAACCCTAAACCCAAGGCCACATTTCCCAAAGGCTCCATGTACCTTTATAGTAGATACTTAAGCATTAAAGGGGTCCCTATACGGGTACTTTAAGGCCTAAGTCTATACTATATGGGTACCCTGGAGCCTTATACCCTAAACCCTATAGAACCCTTGTAGAACCCCTGAAAGGACCCCTTCAAAGGACCCCTTAAAGGAACCCCTTTAGGACCATTCGGTTTTCGGGTTGCAAACTGCAGGCTCAGCCAGGCCTCGTCAACGTGCAGCCAGCTGGACGCGCCTTGACTTAGTTCCCAATACCCAGTGGTTAAGGGGTTTAGGGTGTAGGGTTTAGGGTTGAGGGGTTTAGGGGCTTAGGGTGTAGGGTTTAGGGGTCTAGGGCTTTAGGGGTTAGGTTTTTCTCGGTTCCCCACTACCCAACCTTTAAACTTGTTGGGCTCTTTTAGTTTAGTAGTAATCCGAAAGGTGAACGGCTTTTATTTCTGTGGCTTATTGGGGAAGTAAGTTAACATTTCGTTTTCGGTTTTTGGCTTCCAATCCCTAAGAGTAAAGTATAGGGGATCTCAGCACTATTTGTCCTTAACTAGGTTTCCAACTTTTTGGAGTTGCTGTAGGGTTTTTAGCTAGGACCTAGAGTAGGCCCTTATTCCCTTTTTTGGGGTTCAGGTTCCCTTATAAGCCCTTTGAAACCAAAAAGGGCACCCTTTTTATTTGTTTAGGTAACTCTTAGGTCTAGTTACGGTTGCGGACATAGGGTTTACCTTGACCCTGACAAGCCTAACTTTTCAGGAACCCTCCGTCTGATTTCCGAGTTTTTTGGGAGTTTCCGAAAATAGGGGACCTTAATATCGTACCCTGAATACTAGGATCCTTATTATAAGGACCCCCAAAATAAGGTACCCCCTATGTTCGGAAACTCCCATATATGTCCTTAGTCAGAAGGAAGGTTATTCCGGATTAAGGTTGGATTATGGGACATTTCGTTTAAGGTTTTGGGCTTACGACATGCAGGCATTATATCGGCTTGGAAGATCACAGTTTCGGGTGTTTTTCAATCGTTGCAGGGAAAAGCCTTGAGGTGAATCGAGGATGTGGTGCTTTAGAGCTTTCAGGAGTTTGGAGGTTTACAGTCTAAATGCTCAGAATTCTCGAGCGCATGGCCACCTAGTTGCTAACGGTCAAGAATGCAGCGACTGTCTTCGCTCGTGGACCAGGGCGATTTGCGGCGTCTCAGCAGTTCTGGCAAGTTGCAACCCCTCCGGATCAGGCAGTGATCATCCATTCCGGGCCCTGCGCTGGAGCCGGGACTCACTTACCACCTCGTTTCGTGAAGGACCGCCGCCTGGTTTGGTGGGCTGCGCAGGTGAATCTCCTTGCAGGGCCTTCGCAGCATAGCCGAAGGCTTTCCGAAGGAGAACTGTTCGCAAGGTCTCCACCTGACGTGCAACTGAAGTTTGTGTGCTTGTCATAGGGCCCCAAAAAAGCACATAAGCAAAAATTAGGATAGGGATATCCCATATAAGCCCTCTTATAATGAAGCAGACTAAGGTAGGGATATCCCTATAAAATGCTTATGCTTACGTGCTCTTGGGGGCCCCTATGGTCTGTGGCCTATAGAGCTTCGTCATTGGCCTGTCGCCTGTATTCGCAACAGCAAAACGCATCTCTGGCGATTTCATACAGCCGCCATCAGGGGAGCTGACTTTCTCGTTGTTGTCCCTCAGTTGGGCGACCCGACATTTGGTTAGGGCTTAAGGTGTTAAAAGGATTTAAAAGGTTTATGGTGCCCTAAGGGTCCATGTACCCAAATAGATATATTTTGGCCCCAATGTACCTATATAGGGATTACTTTAAGGCCGATGTATATAGTATTTAGGTACATGGACCCTTAGGGGTATAGGGACCGGGTTAAAGGTTTTAGGGTTTAGGTCTAGGTCTAGGTCTTCGCGTCCTACTAAAGGACTAAAGTCCTGTGGGAGGTTTACAGAAACAGCCAAGGAGCCGACGTCTCTCAAGACTCTACAGCCCATCCCTAGTCAAGTCTTAACCTCAAAGCTCTGAGGAGCCACGTTTTAAGAGCTTCGGACCCAAGAATGAACGCATGCCATGTGTGTGGGTGTGTATATATATATATATATATATATATATATGTATATATGGGTTCTAACAACAGCATGAACAGCAGCAGTAGTATTACTCATACTAGTCATCATGGCAACAAATGGTGATATACCACGACGTGCTGCTACACTGCTGTTGAAAAGACAATAAGATCTGTTCAATTCAAAGCCTTCGGGCAAGAACTCCCGAGTCTTCAATGTCTTAGATCTGTTGTAAACCGTCCCGTACTAGAGAGAATAGCAATATGGGAGTTTCCGAGAATAGGGGACTCTAAGATAGTACCCCAAATAGTAGGACCCTTATATATCCTTATTATAAGGCGCCCAGAAAAGGTACCCCTAATTTCGGAACCTCGTTTATTTGGCCAAGCATAAGATCTTGGTCCCCAACGTTGCGGCTCCATGGAAGTCAAATTCGGGAGAAACCCTACTTCCCAAGCATGAAACCCCAAACCGAAGACTTGGAAACCCTAAAGCCCTATAAATTCTAAAGCCTAAAGCCTCAAACCCTAGCTGCATAGTTGTTTCATGGTTGCCATTTGGGAGATTCGAAAAGTGAAGGATGTTTGTTGGGGCGTGAGGGGGTTGGGGTCCAGGGTTTGAGGTTTAGGGTGTGTCTGACTTTGTGCGTGTCTGTCTGTGTGTGTGTGTGTGTGTGCGGGCTTTGGGTCTCTGAAACATGTCCCGGCGTGCCCAAAGTCTAAGCCCTAAAGCCTGAAACCCAAAACCTTGTTCCCTGAGGCTCCATAGTAGTTCCTTTTTAGGGTTCATATTTAGAATCCTATAAGGTAACCCTAGAAAGGAACTACTTTGGAGCCTCTGGGTTAAGCCCTAGACTGAGCCTTTTTTTTGAAATCTTAAACGCCCTCGACTGAACCTGTTTGATATGATCTCTATTTTCAAGGCCTCTCCCTAAACCCCAATCTTTAAACCATCCTAAAAGCATCCCTAAAGCCTAGACCCCCTTTAAAGGCCCCCTGGGCCCTGAACCCCCTTTAAAGGATCCCTTTTAAAGGAATCCTAGCCCCTTTGAATAAAGGACCCCCTTTAAAGGAAGCCCGAGCCCTGAACCCCTTTTAAAGGAAGCCTGAGCCCTGAACCCCCTTTAAAGGAAGCCTCTTCGGTTTCTTTGTTCAGCCCAGGTTGGTCGGCGCTGCACCAAGCGGCAGAAGCAGGCCAGGGGTCTTGCTGGCTAAACTGTAGTACTCTTAACTTGGCGTTCTTCTGGCTGGCTCTTTAGACTTTAACTTTAACTTTTTGTGTCTCTATATAAACTATAATAAGGAGGCTAAAAGTTTAACTTTTAGGAGGGGTTCAGAAGTCCGCCAAGTTAAGACAGTTTAGGGCTTAGGGCTTGAGGTGGTTATCGTCTTTTTCTTGTTCTGTTCTAAGAAAACTTGAGCGGCGTAATAAATATACATATAAGAATGAAACTCCAAGGGGTCCTGAAAATGCAGTCTGGTTCTTATAAGGCACTTCTAAAAGTAAAAGCTCAAGACTGATTCAGGCTTCCGGGAATTAAGGCTCAGGCTCAGGGCTGAGGCAGGTTTAGGGTTCAGGGGTTTAGGGTTTTAGGGTTTAGGGGTTTAGGGTTAAGGGGTTTAGGGTTTAGGGGTTTAGGGCTTGGGGTTGTTGCATAAAAGCCCTCCGCCAAGCATCCCGAAACCCGACTATACAGGGTTTCCCAAAAAGGGTTCTGATAAATGGCCGAATGGTCGGTATATACTTTGGCCCTAAAGTAGTCCCTATCCAGGCACTTGAGGGCCAAAGTATATACTATACTATAGTCTCCTTAGAAATTATTTTTGTTTTTGTTCGTTAATATTAAACCCACGTGAATATCAAACATATGTGTTTCTTATTATGGTTGTATATGAGCACCTCAGGGATTAGGGAGTCAGGGCTTGCTACAATGTAGCTAGGTATGTACATATGTAGTATGTATGTGCATATGGGAGTTTCCGAAAATAGGGGACCCTAGTGCAGTACCCTAAATAGTAGGATCCTCATTATAAGGACCCCCAAACAAGGTACCCCTAATTTTCGGAAACTCCCATATTGAATATAAGTAGGTGCGTTTGTCAACGGTGTGTGCGGCGAACCAAAGTCTGAGTTGTCTGACGACGCAGTTGGGGATACTATGACAAGTCTCATAAGGAACCCCCAAAATAGGATTGGTAACTATTCAGGCTCCTAGAATAAATCCGTATCGTAGTCGTAGCCATTGTGGTAACGTTTAAGCGTCAAAACGTGAACCATGGGCTATCCGGCTGTCATTGAAGTTGAGGTTGCGCATCCTTTGGATTGGAATTCACAGACTAACGCAACTCTGTTCTGCAAAAGTATAGATTGAAAAGGTCAGCAAAAGGGTTTTGAAGCATGCTATTGTGATTATGCAGGTCGTATCCGGAAACTTTATTAGGTTTTTCGGAGATACCAAGAACTTCCACAGTTGTTGGTAAACTTTGACCACTACCCCCACTCTGTAACAGCAAAAAATATTCAAAACAGAACTACATAGAATATAACCCGAATATAGCCTTCAATATGACCCCGAATACAGACTGTCACAAGGTGGGGGGCACTACCCAAGGTAAACTGAGCAAGAAGCTGCTGGCTTGACATACCCTAAGGCCTAAGGGTCCATGTACCCAGATAGTATATACTTAGGCCCGAAGGTTCCTTTTAGGGACTACTTTGAGGCCAAAGTAACTACTATTTGGGCACATGGACCCTTAGGGGTAACTCAGTCTCTTCATGTTTTGTAAATGCTGCTTAGCACAGCAAGTGCGCGCAGGGCCCTGGCAAAAGAAAGCAACTGGCTTAGGGTGGAGGATTACAGTACCCTCAGCCCCTAAAGCCCTTCTTTAAACGGCGAGGGGAAGAGGCAGTGGTCAAATTCCTCCTGGACCACGGGGCAGACAAAAACGTGAAGACCAAGGCCAGGCGTTGGCTTCTTGATTAAAGGTGTTTATGGTTTGTTGCAAGAAATCCAGTGGATCTAAGTCTCCACGAGTTTCCAAAAATAGGGGACCCTAAAATAGTACCCTAAATACTAGGATCCTTGTTATAAGGACCCCAAATAAGGTACCCCTATTTTTCGGAAACCCTCAAATACTGTAGAAGGGTGTTGGGTCCTGAGCCCTTGATCTGAATCGTGTATTGGTACCTAACGCCTAACACCCTGCTTCCTTAAGGGTTCCTGTTGAAGGTGTTCACCCTGGGTGGCCATACCCTGCAGCGAAGCTCACGCAGAATGTTTTCTATGGCTGGGCGCAGAGGCGACTCACGATCTCAACGAAGCAACAAGAGAACCGACAAACCAACAAACGACCAGTACAGCTTTACAAGTTGTTGGTTACAGTACACATGGCTCAAGAGGCTTACCTTTCGTAGCCTTCCCCTACGAGCCGAAGCATAACAGCGCACAAACACTTGCAGACTACAGGTACCTAGCAGCTATACAAGGGCCCTGAAAGCTAGCCACAACTGCAAACTACAAGTGCTGATCACTGACATGCTGGAGCGTTTTCAACACTCCTCCTTGGCTCGCTCGTCAGGGCGACGCCACAAGCTGCGTATTTACAGCATGTCATCTTCGCCTGACCTCGAACCTTCTGGCACCTCAGCGTGTTTAGAGACCTGTGCGGTGGCGGTCTCTGCAGACGCGCAAGTTGCGGGTGGTTAAGGGTGTATTACGCCTTAAACACCCAACAAGTCTGATCTAGAGGCTAGCTGGGTGATCAGTCCAGTTTGCCGTTTTGCATAAGTAATAAACAAAACTTTCTCGAGGATATCCAAGACTGTACATAGAAGTGCACGTAGGGTACAAATTAGGGTTTCGAGTGGCCTGGCTGGTTTACCCCCAGCACACAAGCGAGTGCTACAGGCCTTCTGCACACAGGTTCGGGACTACGAGTACCTATTAATTCGGGTCACCCAAACCAGTTAAGGTCTGACAGGGGACCGGCTTTCGCTGCTGCAAGGAGTTGGCTCATCACGACAGCTCCTCCTGGGCTTGTACCTCTGAATTAACACAGGGCCAAGTGCACATATGCTCTCTTTGGCTTGAGCGGCACTACTTGCTTTTCAAAACAGCGTGGCTGAAGCAAAAGGCTTCAACACACGGCCTACCCTTAGGGTGGCTGCACTCCCTCTAAACTGCACCATCATTTGAGCGCGGACCTCATGCATCAAACAACTGATTGGTTGGCAGCGCGGCAACTGCCTGACAAATGCCTTGAAGAACCTGGGGCGAAACAGTTGTTGAGTCTTGCGTTGGGGCACTTGGCAGTGCGAGTTGAAGCTGCGATGATGGCTGCTCCTCCTGGGTTGAAAGCTGGAGGGAATGATGAGAAGCTTGGGGACCTGAAGCGTGCGAAGCGTGCTGTGTTGCCTGCACGACCTGAAGCGCAGCCTGAAACACAGTCGCCAACGCTTGCAGTAAGTCTTGACGGCCTGGGATTGCTCCCGGCTGTAATCTCCTGCCAGTGCCAGCTGCAAACTGCAGCTTGTCCTGCTCCTCCTCATTCGAGCTACTCTGGTGTCCAGAGCTAGAGGACCGAGTGCCGGCACCTAACAACCCTAACAACAAACCAGTTAAACCCTGAGGCTCAGCGGCAGGAGGAGGAGGAGGAGGAGGAGGAGTTGAGGAAGGGACAGGGGTCAGTGCATCCCCGGACGTTGTAGCAGTGCGCGAACCAAGCCCACTATCACCAAACCTACTAAAACTCACCTCCTCAGCACCCACCTGCTGCAACGCCGGCGCCTCATATCCACCAGCCTGCTGAGACTGAATCCTCCAGACTTCAGCCTCAGCACGACCGGTTTTCTCCTGTTCCTTTCGCAAGCGCTGCTTCAACCCTTCAAGCTGTGGCGCCACTTCTGCCTGAATCGCATCATGCGGAATAGATGAGGACTCGGTGTGGGGATGCCTGTCTGGAGACCCGTAGAGCAAGGGAGCCCTTTGCTCCATGGCAGCAAGCTGCTGCGCGTTGGCACCAGTGAACAACGGCATCGGCACTTGACACTCATCTTGCAGGACGCGGCCTCCTCTCTCGAGGGGCTGTAGTGGTCGCGACGGCCTTGGAGGAGAAGTCAGTGGACTGGGAGCCCACCCTTGCGGCAGTGGCTGTACGTTCGCCGCGCCACCAAACAGAGACTGCACTCTTCCTAGCAACTGACTAGCAAAAGCCTGAGCCCCAGTCTGCATGACCGCTGACGCCCCGTACGCCGTTGATCTGGGCGTTTCAAAGCCCTCAGCACTACTTCCAGGATTCGCTGCAGATGGGTTGTACCCTGAGACGCCTGCGGCAACATTGATCTGAGCGCTAGCCATTCCACTTTCGGTGGCCACACTGAAACCCTGAGTCACTGCAGTTGCATCTCCATGCACCCCACTCGCATCAGCGACCTCCGCGGTAGATACTGCTTCATACGTAACGCCAGCTGTACCCAAGCCTCCAACCTGGCCTAGTGTTCCATCGCCTCCTGTCCTACCGACTGCTGAAACTCTCGGTCGGCCGGCTGTTCCAACAGTTTCTTGTGGCAGCTGAGGGGATGGCACTGGACCAGCTGTGGAAGTCGATGGCCCCGACGACGCATCCATCATAGTTTGCTGGATTCCATCCCCAATAGGCTGCGCAAGCCCAGAGGGCGATGGCACTCCAACTCCGGCGGTTGTACCATTCACTGTAGTCTGCGGTGCATCCCCGCCTCCCCGCACACCAGGCAGAGAGGCCGGAGAAGCCACCGCTCCGGTTGCTTCTGGCCCAGGCGTTGGGCTCATCACCTGTTGAAGGTGTTCACCCTGGGTGGCCATACCCTGCAGCGAAGCTCACGCAGAATGTTTTCTATGGCTGGGCGCAGAGGCGACTCACGATCTCAACGAAGCAACAAGAGAACCGACAAACCAACAAACGACCAGTACAGCTTTACAAGTTGTTGGTTACAGTACACATGGCTCAAGAGGCTTACCTTTCGTAGCCTTCCCCTACGAGCCGAAGCATAACAGCGCACAAACACTTGCAGACTACAGGTACCTAGCAGCTATACAAGGGCCCTGAAAGCTAGCCACAACTGCAAACTACAAGTGCTGATCACTGACATGCTGGAGCGTTTTCAACAGTTCCTGTAAGGGCTCCTCTAAGTTGATGTGAGGGTTCCTTTAGGGTGGGTTCTAGTTCCGTAACCTTCGCCCTGAAGTACCTATATATACGCTTTGACGATTCAAATGAAGGTTCCGTATCGGTTTCCCTAATAAACGGGCTAGCTGAGAAAGTATGTTGCTTGTAGATCTGGGCTACAGCGTTTCCTTAGTTAGCGGTTACTGTAGGTTTAGGGTTTACGGGTGAAGGTCGGATTTCTCTCACAAGCCATGTGATGCTGCGGTTTTGTCTTGGGGTTTCGTTATGCTGATACACTGCGGATATACGGTTGATGATATGAATCCTGCATCAGCAACAAAAAGGAGTATACCATAATTCCCATAGTTGAGGTTCCTCAAGGTAATGCAGGATTTATATCATCAGCCGTATGTACCAAGCGCATGCTGTCTGTACTGTTGCAAGGCGATACCGGTGTAACTACAGTGTAACCCCAAGGGTCCAAGTACCCCATAATCATATACTCTCCAAAATCTAACCTACAGAACTACTACCCCAAAGCCGAGTACCTAATTAGTGGGTCTTTTGGACCCTTGGGGTAATGTACAAGGAGCAATACTCTTTAATAGACCAAACAGCCGAATAGCAAGTACCGCGGAGAGGTTAATAAACTCATGGACATCAGATTCCGGAAGGTATTCGTAGGCTTGGAGTCGTAAGGCTTAGGGATCCAACAACTTGCGGCCTTTAGGGTTTGGTTTTAGGGTTTCGGGTGTGGGTTTAGGGGTTAGGGTTTTGGGGTTTCGGGTGTGGGTTTAGGGGTTAGGGTTTTGGGGTTTAGGGTTTGGGTTTAGGGTTTAGGGGCTAGGGTCATGTTGATATGGTTTCTATTCAAGGCAGCTTTGTTAAGGGGTCCTTGTATCATGGATCAGGCTACTTTGGTGTCTAAATGTGTCGGGAAAGTCCCACAGTTATGCGAGCCCATAGAAAGTCCGAGACCGAGATACATGCAGGGTTTGCAGGTTTAGGCTTTAGGGTGTAGGTCATCGTGTATTGGTGCCAATGCAGATTGCGGCGAAGTTTACGCTCACGTTAGACATCCAGCGAAAATGGTTTGCACTTGGGCAATTGCTGTTGTTTAGTTGAGTAAGTAATTAACCCTAGCTTGACCATCTGTGGACAGTGTCGTGAGCATCATCCGAAGCTCCATGTCCTCAATACCGCTCCCAAAAACCAAGACTTGTCCTTTACTTTGCCTCAGGAGCTGCAAATGCGCTGGACAACTACGTAAGACACAGGGCCCGACATCTGTTTGCAAGTCATGAACCGTGAAACCTGAAGCTCAATCCTAAACTCACCAAACCATGAAGCCTTAATCCAGTGCGAAGCCCTAAACCTCGTAACCCACTGACATGAACCTGGACAGTATACTTGCTATAGTCGCAATATGCCCTTACATAGTCCTTGTGTAGTTGTAGCAAAGTCCCGCAACGACCCTAAACCTCTAAACCCCTAAACCCGAAACCCCTAAACCTCTAAACCCCCAAACCCTAAACCCTTAAACCCTAAACCGACACTCGTTTGGCCCATAAAGGCCTCGCCCGAAACCCATGTAGAACCAGTAAGCCTTCAGACATTATTACCCTAAGGCTCCGTAGTAGTTTCTTTTTAGGGTTCATGCGGTTGATGGTATAAATCCTGCACCACCTTTAGGTCCCTAAGCTATGGGACGTATGGTATATTCCTTATCATGGGTTGTGCAGGATTTGTATCATTAAACGTAGTAGTTCCTTTTTAGGGTTCATATTCAGAATCCTATAAGGTAACCCAAAAAGGAACTACTTTGGAGCCTCTGATTAAGCCCCAAGCCATTAAAAACTCACCGCTACCAAGACTCCTGTATATTAAACCCTAGATGGAGGTACATAGGTAGCTTTAAGTGGAGTTATTAACTCCCTAAATGGGTCATATCTGTAGTTACCCTACTTTAAAACCCGACTTAGAACTACCCGTGAACCTCCAAGTATATTAAACCCTAAGCCCTCGATCAAATCTGCCTTCCAGAACCCCTGTAGATCAAAAAAGTAGTTCTCTAAAGTAGGGTCCCGTACGTGTAGGGTCCTTTTGACAACGGTGCCGCATTTTTTTTGGGGGGGGCTTGAATGGGACTCTACTAATGTGGCGAACTACCATTGAGAGCCCTCATGACATGACTCCTCCGAGGAGCCCGGAACGCGCCCGAAACTCTCAGCCCAAAATCCCAAATCCTCCACACCGAAACCCCAAACCCTAAGCCCTTAAGCCCTAAACCCTAAACCCTAAACCCTTAAACCCTAAACCCCTAAACCCCTAAACCCTAAGCCCTTAAGCCCTAAGCCCTAAACCCTAAACCCTAAACCGAAACCCTAAACCCTAAACCTCATGCGCAAACCTCTCAGACCCTAACTCCCGAATCCGAAAACCCATCCTGAACCTGAACCCTAACCTAAACCCTAAACCGTGGCAGTAGTCGTAGTAGTAGTAGTAGTAGTAGTAGTAGTAGTAGTAGTAGTAGTAGTAGTAGTAGTGGTAGTAGTAGTAGCAGTAGTAGTACCCCGTTGCGAAAGGATGGGCGCACGCCTTTGCAGGCCGGGTTTCAGGCTTTTGGGTTCTTTAACAGATATCATGGGTTGCTTGAAGCGCACTTTTGGGGTTCCTTCAAAGATATTCCTTTGTGGTTCCTTCAAAGGTATTCCTTTGTTTTTTCGTTTTTGGATGTCATAGATCTCTCAGAGTTTCGTACCTTTGTGTAGGGTTTCCGGAGGGTTGGGTCCCAAAACCCTAATTAAACCTTAAAAATCCTGAACCCTAAGTTCTTTAACCTTTCTGTCGGGTTCTGGGTTTTGGGGCTTCGTGGTTTGAGGCTTGCCTGCTCAGGGACTCCAGGTGTGATCAGATTAAGAGGGGGGCAATGCATTTTTTGCTGCCCCTAAACCCTTAAAGGGAACTCCAGAAAGTTGGAATATGGTTTCAGGGTAGGATACCTTGTAATTTACCATAAAGGGTTTAGGATAATCATATTCCAACTTTCTGGCTTTTACTTTAACCCTGAGCTACATCATGCAAGATGGGAGCCCGACAAGCCTAAGCCGTATAGTACCCCTATGGATCCCTTCAAGGGACCCCTCCTAAAAGCCTACTTACCAAGTCCCATGATTCGCCAAATATCCCCATAGTACCCTTATAGAAACCCTCATAGAATCCCCTTATAGATCCCTTTTGAGGTGAGCCCCAAGGGTCCAAATACCCAACAATCATATACTCTCCAACATCCTCGCCTACATAACTACTATCCTAAAACCGAGTACCTAATTATTGGGTCCGTTGGACCCACGGGTACTGCGTCCCGTGATCCTCCAAGTACTGGAGGTCTGCAAGAACGCCGCATGCCGTGCTCTGCTTGGCGGACCCGAGAAGCGAAGCGCAGGCTACAAGCCCGAAGGCTGGGTGGCGCTTCAAGGGATTGCTTTACCTTCAAGAGGGTTCAGGGATTAGGGTTTAGGGATTCCCCCAAGGGCTCCATGTACCTTTATGGTAGATACGTAAGCCTAAGATTCCGTCAAAGGGTTCTATAGGGTTGAGGCTATAGAAAAGGGTCTATGGTACCCAAATAGTAGGTACTGAAGCCTTAAAGGGGTCCCTATATAGGTACTTTAAGGCCTAAGTTTACACCATAAGGGTGGAGCCCTAGGGTGGGTGGCGCTGGGTTCTTTTCGAGGATCCTTGTTGGGTTTTGTGGTAGGGTGTACAGGTTCTTAATTAGGTTCTGTTCAAGGTTCCTTGGAGGGTTTCGTATGAGGGTTTCGATTTTTGGGGTTTGGGGTTTAGGGTTTGGGTTTTTACGGGTTAAGGGTTTGGGGGTTATGCTTCGTTTACATGATTATTGAAGGTGCCTTCCTGCGTTCGTTTAAGTTATTCAGCCAATTAAGCATTGTGGCCTTACATATTTGGTCTATTTTGGGAAGTTTGACATTTTGGGCTGGTTATGGTAGAAGAGAGAGTTAAAGCTTGGCGAAGGCATCCATGGCGGAAGCGCCGTCTTACGAGGAACAGTCGGCGAAGGGCCAAGCGACTTCCAGAAAGCGCTTGCGAAGCCTAAACCCTAAACCCTAAACCCTAAACCCTAAACCCTAAACCCTAAACCCTAAACCCAGATGCAGGCCTTCTGCAAGAGGTCGCAGGGCTTGTGACGATGGATGCGGTTTGGACGGGATGCTGGAACCCTGATCAACATGATATCAAAAAAACGTGCTGCCCCGGATGATTCAAGGGTTCCTTTAAGGGCTCTGAGATAGCATCGGGTTTTTATGAGCTTTGGAAGTTTGCGTATGTTAAGGGGTTTCAGGGTTTGGGTTCAGCTATGAGTCTAAACCGTAAACCCTGAACCGTCGAGGCTTCGATACAGAAGCCTGAAGACGTACTCGCTCTAACGGCTGTTGATGTGATGACAGCTTTCTGAGTTCTACAAGTTTGCAGTTTGCACTTTGGTTGAGAGGTTCTGGTTTGCGGTTCAAGCTTCTTGTAGGACTCAGGGCTTTTGGTTCTCGGATTGATGTTGAATGCTCCTTCTTCATTCTCCAGAGAGGGGGCTTCTGCATAACCCCAAAATGGGACCCTAATTTGGAGAACTGCCCGTATAGCACCGTCATGGTACCCTGACGTGGGGACCCTCTTGGGAAGGTGAGCCCGTGGCGAAAGCTCCGGCTGCCAAGGTTGGTCAAGCGGATGGGCTTGAATCTTTCCCTAAGGGTCCATGTACTCATGTAGTATATACATTGGCCTTAATGTAGTCTCTATATAGGTACTTTGGGGCTCATGTATCCCTATACGGGCACGTGGAATCTTAGGGTTTAGTGTTCTCCCGTATAGCGGTCCCTGTATCAAAATAGTAATGGTAGATACACTGGTCTACTTAAGGGCCAAAGTATCCCTAAACCCTAAACCCTCAGGATCCTTATTATAAGGACCCCAAATAAGGTACCCCTAATTTTCGGAAACTCTCATGGTACACGGACCCTTAAGGATTTAACTACAACTTCTGTAAGCGCTTGGGGCTTAGAGAGCCTCAGAGCCGTTACACAAGGAAGACGAATGTCAAAGGGGAAAAGGATGGACCCTTAATGGGGTCCCCATAATGGGGCTATATAATGGGTATATAATAGCTATTTTAAGGGTATATACCTAGGGGTCCTTATTAAGGGTCCGTCCTTTTACCCATGGAGAATGGGGCTTTGCTGGGTTTGTTGTAAATGCTTTGTGGGCTGGTTTCAGGTGGTTTTTCGACTGAGACTATACGCAGCTTATACAGGCCACGGGGGTTTAAGATATATCTGCCAATCTGATTCAAGTCATGTTCCTTCGTGTCGGTTTTGGAATTAAAGGTCAGGATGTGAGGGTTTTGGGTTGAGGGCTTACCTGGACCCTGTAAAGAACTCTTGTTTTAGGGCTCCCCAGTCTGAGTTCCTTTTATAAGTCCTCAAAGAACCGTAGGTAACCTGAAACCCTAAACCGTAAACAGATATCCCTAAACCCTATACTAATTAATAAGGCCCTAATAGTACCTAGTAGTCGAGGAGGTAACCTTTAACTTTTTTGGGGTAGTAGAGTCCCTATATAATCCCTAGAAAACCAGAAAGGTTAACCTTTAGTCACCATGATGCCCGACAAGTAGGAGAATCAAAGAAGTAGGTTACTTGGGTTCCAGGTCCCGAAGCCCTAAGCCTAAAACCCTACAACGATGAACCCTAAACCCCGGGTTTGGGAACCCTACGTCAAGGTTTCTTTACAGGGGTCAGCAACTGTACTACAGGGTATCGTTTCGGATAATCGCTAGTTTCCCGTATTGCTTAAAAGAAACAGCCCTAATTATGAGTAACTTTGGGGGCTGTTGAAATCGACACCTAGTACAAGGAATGCAGGGTTTAGGGAACAATAGCTCCACTTATGGACCATAAGGGACCGTGGGACTTAGGAAGGTAAGTACCCATAGGCTCCATAGTAGTTCCTTTTCGGGGTTACCTTATAGAGTTCTGAATATGAACCCTTAAAACGAACGACTATGGAGCCTCTAAGTAAGCTGCTTCTAACCCTAACGATACTTGACCCTACCTTTCAAGTTCCCTAAATCCCGACACCCAATAGAGGCCTTATGCAAACCCGGCAGAACCTTTGTATGAGCCTACAAACAAATTCTACAACTAAGTCCACTGATCCTCCATTAAATATGAGATGTATATTATAAATTGGTATACAATTTTGGGGGTTGTATGGGGTTCGAGCGTTTATAGTTCATGATTTTGGGCCTTGAACGTTTTTTTGTTTCAGGCTTGAGGGTTTAAGGTTTAGGGTTTTCGTCTTTATGGTTACAGGCTATAGGGTTTAGGTAGGGTAGTGAATCTTCTGTTCGCAGTGCAATTGTCTTGCGGAGCGGTTTGGCTTGGAGACGCGTGCACTGCCTCGCAAGCGACGGAGAAACGCACCCAGCAAGCAAGACGTGACGTAGATCCAAGCGATCCGTGTCGGACCAACGAGCCACCACTTGAAGGCTCATGGGACTTAGTAAGTAAGGTTATAAGTAGGTTATAATTAGGATAACCCCACTTAGGGGACTTATAACCCCAATTATAACCTATTTACTAAGTCCCATGATCCTTTAAGCACAGGATACGTGCGTCAACATGGCTGCGCGACAGCGCCACAGATCCAGCGATCCATGCTCGATTGACTAACCCTAAGGCTCCATGTACCCTTATAGTATATACTTAGGCCTTAAAGTGCCTATCTAGGGACCACTTTAAGGCTTAAGTGCCTACTATGAAGGTACGGTACATGGAGCCTTTGGGTAATATAGGGGCCTGTAACTAATTACCAATGCTATTTACAACCGTGTGCATTGGCGACAAAGTTTAGTAGGCTTGCGCTTACAGTACTTGGAGGGTCATGGGACTTAGTAAGTAGGGTTATAGGTAAGGTAACTACAGCTATAGTTACTTATAACCCCAATTGAGGCACTTATAAGCCTACTTACTATGTCCCATGATCCTCCAAGTACTTTCAGGCCTAAATAATGCTCAATACTAGTTTTTCGGGGGGGCGTCCTTTTGATGATTGGATTAAAGGGGCCCCCAAACCCAATTCTAGTTATTAAGGCTCTGATTTGAGAGGTCGAGCGTGCTCTATGGCACGAGAGATGGTGCCACAACCAGCAACGGCCGAGAATGCATGCATGCGCATGTACATACATACATTCAATACCCACCCACCTACATACATTGAACCTAGGTGTGTATCTACCTACATCCTATGTAGATACACACATGCATACATAGATCGATGCCCTACAAAGCTCTCGAAAGGAAGACCCAAAAGTTTTCAATGGGGCCCTTACACGACCTTCAAACGCGAACCTTAAGACCTTTTGCATCTGAGTCCGAAGAGCCTTAGGGGACCATGTGCCCAAAGAGCCCAATACCCCTTAATTGAGGAATACACCTTAAACCATGACAAAAACGCAGAGCCCAGAGCCTCCAATAGCCCTTGATTAAGGAATATACCTTAAATTATAGTAGCCCAGAGACTCCAAAACCCATTAATTAAGGGATATGCCTTAAATTATAATAGGATCCCTAATATAATTTAGGGAATATTCCTTCATTAAGGGGTATTGGAGTCTCTGGGAGCCAAAAAGCAGGACCTGACCATCACTGTGAACTATGCCGCATCTGGAGAGCTCCTGAAGACGGCAACCGTGTGCACTGGCGACAACTAGGATGCCCAGTAGTACCCTTATTCCCTTTTTGCAGTCCTAGGTTCCTTATAAAGTTACCCAATACCGAAAAGAGAGGCCTTTTTATTCTTAGGTTACTGGGTATCCTAGACAAAGTTTTGTATAGGGCAAAGGGGACAAGGAGGGACCCTTAATGGGGACCCCTGGGTCCCTATAATGGGCTATATAATAGGTATATAATAGCAATATTTTTTAGCGCCCCAACAAAGCACATAAGCAACAATTAGGATAGGGATATCCCATCTAAACCCCCTTATAATGAAGCCCATTAAAACCCCCTTATAATGAAGCCCATTAAAACCCCCTTATACTGAAGCCCATGAAGGTAGGGATATCCCCATAAAGTGTTTTTATGTGATTTTTGGGTCCCTATAGTAGGCTTGCGCTTACAGTATTTGGAGGGTCATGGGACTTAGTAAGTAGGGTTATAGGAAAGGTAACTACAGCTATAATCGCTTATAACCCCAATTGAGGCACTTATAAACTTACTGTCTGAGTCCCATGATCCTCCAAGTAGGGTCTAAAGGGGTATTTTTCAATACGGCCACGGGTCTTGTAGACAAGGGCTCAGTGGTTCTAGGTGTTGCATGTCATGTAGGGTTTAACTCCCTCCCCCTCACCTAACTTCTACCAGCGCCACCACTCAAAACTACTGCTACTACTGCTGCGACGACGATGACCAATTAGGCGGCTCTTTGTATGTGCCCTTCAACATCATACTTCTCCTCGACGCTTGCTTGAAATCTGATGTGTGTTGACAAGGTGCCTTAGAGCTGCAAAGTTTGCTAACAATGGTTCTTTGTAGCTGCCACTGCTACGATCTGTGATGTGACCTGAGCTCTACAGTGCGGGGGGTCCTAATCCCTGAACCTCTAAACCCCAAATTCAACAAAGCCCCTATAGCCGACCACCGGGAACGCCGCCCACATAAAACTCTGTACAAGAGCCGCCAAACTAGACGATACAAGAGCCTGCCAAACGAGATGAAACAGCAAACGGCCGGCATCTTCCCATAAAGCAGCGTACTCGGGCCCCTTGCCAACACTTTGGCCGCAGCTTTTGCCTGATCCCGAACTAGGATGCCCAGTAGTACCCTTCTTCTCCTTCTGTAGTCCCAGGTTCCTTATAAAGTTCCCCAATACCAAAAACGGAGCCCTTTTTTTTTGGGCATTACTGCAATCGGCCTCACGAGCCTCCTGCGATTCGAATTGGACCAATCTTCGCTGGTATCAGCGTGCAAGCCGAAGGATGGAAATGGGAAAGGAGGAAACGCGCTGTTATTGGGACATCAATTGCCGGGGGTTATGCCATCCCAGCATGGAACTATGGAAGCAAGAGGCTTCATCTTGACGGTACGGTCTAAACAGGAAATATCCCTAGAAACCTTCAGAATCCAAGCCAAAAGCTTATCATGATGACGAAACTGCCTCGAACACGAGAGGCCGGACTGATTTCCGAACCCAAATGACTTCATGTGCCTAATGCCGACTATGTGATCAGCATTGACATGATGCTTGTCGATGATTTGAAGAAACACATCCTTGAACCTACGGACAAGGATTCCTACAGACATTTCCTGATCACACAGTCCTGGAAACAGGCCAAAGGACGCTACAAACTCAACTGCAAGAGCAACCCAGCAGGTCCTATCTTGCGTATGCTTAGTCCCCCACTTCCATCGACCATCACATATGAAACTACAGAATGCTTGACATGCTGCTGAAGATATAGGAGCCTTCCTAATCTTAATGACACCGCAGTCGACGGGTTGAACAGGAGGACTGAGAATGCCGTTGAAAAACACAACTCTTCGGAATACCGGATGGAGAGACCAAAGTCTCTCGGAGATTGTGTCGTCGAAGCGACTCCTATTACAAACACTATCGACAAGAGCCTCTTCCAAACCCCCAACTTGCATAATACAACACCCAGTACATACAGGTTTCAACTTGCCTATCACCCGAGTTGAAGGGCGACACAAACAATTGCAAGACATCACGGTATCCCGAAAAGGCGCAGGCACAGTGCAGTCTGGAGCCATATCTATTTCGGACTCGGCTCTCCTTGAAACCAGTGTTGACACAGCGTGAGTTTGAATGTCAACAGCTCTCTGGATAAAAGGCTTGAGCTCTTGCAAGTTCTTGACGAAAGCATCATGCGCTTTCCGTTTGGCACACCGATCGGCAAGCTCATTGCCCCGCGTCAAGTATGCAGGTTGTCCTGTGTGACCTCGTGGAACATGGGCCTTCACTTTGACGAAGGAAATATTGCAGTTCGGTCTTTTGTGGACCTCTTCAAGAAAAGCTGTCCACAAATCGTGGTTATCAAACTTGACAATATCCTCAAACCGATAGCCATGTTGCTTCAGAGATGTCGCCCTGTCGACAACCCCTGCGCAATCGCTGACCAATGTAACCGAACCATGGGTAAGCTTAAGGGCCAAAACAGCGGCATACAATTCAGCACGCTGGGATGTGAGATCCCTGCCTGGCAAGAGCACCGACATTTCAAACTTACCAGGAACGACGACAGCACATGCCGCGGAGCGTAACGCTTGCCACTTTTCATGAAAAGCAGACCCGTCCAGAAAGACTGGCTCGTCAACTGAGAAGGTCTCGGAGATCTCGGGGAACTCAAGCAAGTGGTCACGTGACCTTTCCGAAGCAAATGCATCTCTCGGGGAGAAGAAAATGCCGGCTGTCCAAGAGACGGCATTCTCTTCACCCCTGATTGGCCTGGTAGCTGCGTATAGTGGACACTCCATAAACAAATGTTGATGAGTCTCCGCGTGCTGTTTGCAACAACACTCATCCGATTGAGTCATACCAGCAGCTTTGAGTCGCGGTCCGGTATAGATGCCGCCTGTGATAAACGACTCAAGAATAGCCCGAGTGTGGGCATGATTGGAGGGCAACCGCTGCAAAAAGGGCTTCAAGAACTGGAAGTCCTCATCAGACCGGAAGTCTGACTCAATCAAAAACCTGGTCAAGAAAATGTCCATGTCCGGAATGTTAGCCGGAAGCTGGCAGTCATGCCGAATCGAAGCTTTGCGTAGCAAGTAAGTTCGAACCGCAACGCCTAACTCCTCTCTGAAGAATTGTGTGCTACCCGCTGCTAAGCAGATTTCTCCGCGCTGCGGGGTTTTAATGACGAAGTTGTCGACATCAACAAAGGACCATTGCAACTCCTGACAGAGAAAAGCAAAGACTGCTGCAACGCCATTGCTGGTATGTTGCACCTTACCGACGAGCCTTTGAGCGTCTTGCAAAACTCTGACTGCTAAAGCTGGGTTGCTACGGGTCATTTTGCGAAGCTTCGAAAACACATGTAACACCCATTTGCCAAAAGGGTCAAGAAAAGGATCAGCTCGCGTAGCCATACTCAAAAACGGACACCGAACATGGTTCTTTTTAAACAAACAAGCCACAACGGCTGAGCGGATGCTATGAAGGACGCGCGCAGAAGGGGCTTGTATTTCAGAGCCATACACCCACTTGGAATGAGCATTGGAGTGAATGTGGATTTCTTTCTGTTGTTGCGACAAAGGTAAGACGGCGATCTTCTGCAACATCTGACGAGCCTTAGCGGCCCGACTATTCTGAATAGCAACGCTGCCTTTGAGTTTGCACGACTGTGTAAAGCCTAGAGATTTAACAGTTTTCTTACGACTAAAGTTTTGACGACCAACTTCACGAAGAAACCTGTCAGCTTTTGCCTTGCGTTTTGTCATTAGCGTTGTCTTCTCCGGATTGAGAACTTGCCCGATGCTTTGGTCAAACTGCTCAACACAGCATAAAGCATTAGCCAGTTCAGCATGGTTGTTTTCTGGGGTCCAAAATTTGGCATCATCAATAAACGATCTCAGTGAAATAGTAGGGCATAAAGTGCTCAAGACGGTTGCAAAAACTGCGTATGCTGAATTAACCATGACAATGGACAAGCTACAGCCTTGCACAGCCGAGTTACTGGAAAGAACCCTCCTACCGAAAGCACAGCCTAATTTGAAGAACTTGGTTTGGTTCGCATAAAAGCCCAAGGCAGCCCTATGAATGTGGTCTGGCAACCCAAGACGTCTGGCAATACCCAAAGAAACCTGCGGTATGACCATGTCGAAACATTTGAACCGATCCAAAAACAGTGCCATGGTGTCGGTATGCTCACTATGTAGATCCATTGATAACAGCCATTCCGATTCATCACCGTTGCGTCCGCAAATGCCTCCGATTAAACTTGGGGGAAATACTGAAGCTTGCCACTGTGCAAGATGACGATAACGCAACGAGGACCACAAGGAATAAATGACAGAGGCGATGCCAATACACCTAATGTTCTTAGGGGTAGACATATCTACACCCTTGGAAATTGAAGCAATGCTAACAAGCTTAAGCGCTTCTGGCCATATGCCCGTGGCTTCAGCTAGCTTCATGACAAGAGCAAACGGGATCCATCCAGACGGTGGTAACTGCTGAAGCTCCGAAACCTTCCAACCGTCTAAACCCGAGGCTTTAAAACTACTCTTTTTTTGAAACAACCGAAACAAGTCGTCGTGGACAATACTTGGGACAACGGCGTCAGCTGCTATGTTATCGATAGCGGTTTGGTATTTTTCATAAAAATGACTCTCCATTCTATCTACATCTTTGTCAGCATGATAGTTGTAGATAGACTCCATGTGGTCAGATATCATTTCCAACATTTCGTTAGGATCAGTTGTAATGCTATTGTCATCACGTCGGAAAAACCTGGGTTGACCAACACGTTCACCTTTCAACCATCTGTGGACCCTGGACTTATTGCCTCGCGCAGACAACTTTAGCTTATTCTTCCACTGATCGATCAGCTGCAGTTTCCGAGAAGTCTCGCAAACATCAAAAGCACTCACCAACTCTTGTTCAATGGAAGCACATGAGGCTTGCAGCTGTAAGGGTGACATTGTGTTGAACAGTGCATGAACTCCGCATTTCGCTGCAACATTAGAGGCG